ATAATTAGACAAGAAAATAAATTGCTGTTTATTATTAAATATATTATTTGAGATTTTATAAGTAACAAGATTTTAATGTTGAAAAAAGTATTAAAAGCTCATTTAAATAAACATTGAATAAAATTAATAAATCTAAATTGTTTCATTGCAATCATTGGTAAAGTAGTCTTCGCCCATGAATTCACTGTGTTCTTCATCTGAATCTGATGTGCTACCATCGTTGGAACAGTCATCACTGTTGCTGGATCCTTGATATTGCTTATCTGAACCCGATGGTTCGGAAGAACTTATTTCACTTTCAACTGCTATAGCCGCTTGCCTAATATTTGTATGAACTTCAGCTTTATCAGTTTTTGACGTATTTCCTTTGTTTAATATTTTTGGTTGAATAGAAAATTTAACAACTCTACGTTTTTCCAAGTATTTGTAAACAGCTTCTTTTAATATATCTTAACGCTGATCATCTGTCCATACATGGCAATTTCCAGCAATAAACAAGCACTGTTCCATGGTACTATGTTTCATTCTGAGCCGATGGTCTGTAAGGATAGTAGATAGTGTACTGAAACATCTCTCTACTACGCTGTTCGACGATGATAAACAAAGGCACAACTCGGATAACAAAAGGATATTTGTAAAATCTTTTCTTTTATATGTAAATAGTTTTTCCCAAATTTCTATGAAAGTTGAACTAGAGTAAAACGATCTTACGAATAATTGCAAAGTTTTCCATTCTTCAAAAACTGTTGCTTCTTTGAAGTTTGCTGCTTCGAGCGGTTCGCGAAAATATTCCATAAGGTAATTAATATTTTCCCATCCATTATCTTGATTGTCCGTCCAATATTTAGGATCAAGCCATGTCATGGACGCGAACACAGGATTATCTTTAAATGATGCAAATCGACTATTAATTAATGGTATTAATATGTTAATGCATTCTTTTCTCAGCTCCAAAGCTCTTTCAACGTCTTCTTGCTTTGGGTTTATCATTCCTTCAAGTTTGATGTCGATGTATTTTATATTCTTTTTTTTATTTTTGTCGCCAACGATTATATATTCAGATTCAAGAGTTATAATACCACCTTCTTCTTTAATAATAAATTTTCGTGCAGAGCTACTGTACGCTTCGTCAGCTTTTTCTGCAGTCAGTGCAGTCAACTGTGTTATTGTCTGGACAATTTGAGGATTCACTTGAAAAGCAAATAAAACATTTTTTTCAAAAAAAAGGGACAAAGGCCTCATTGCCGCAAGTACATCTAGATACGCTCCGGTTTTGCATAGAAAAGCATATTTTGTTAATTTCTTTACAAGCCCCTGTATTTTGGCTCTTGTTTGGTTACCATACCCTTTGTTAGTTAGTGCATTTGGTAAGGCAACTAGATAAGCTGGCCAGTTATGCATTAAACTAGTGTAACCCTTAACTCGATGCGATGCAAATCGGGTTCCTTGAATTTTATTTAGAGTGTAATACTCGATAGATAAAGCAGCTGCAGCATGTTTGCATGACTCCTTCAGTTTACCTGACTTTTTTAAAAGATAAAATAGAGTTGTATAAAAATTGTCGCAATCCGTAAAGTCTTTAAATTGTTTTATAGCGTCTTTTATAGCAAGCTCTAATCTGTGATTAACACAGTGTATGTTAACTAACCATGGTCTTGTTTTTTTTAATTGAGTTAACGCACCACTATAGATACCCAGATTAACATTCGCTCCATCAGCTGTTGCTGATACCAGCTTTGTACGATAATTCGTAACGGATAATGGAATATTGCATTTAGCTATAACGTTTTCAATAAATACACTATCCAATGCCAATTTCAAGGAGTCAGCATCAACTCCACCAAAATCCGTCATATTACACAATGCAACAAAAAAATAACACGGGATACCAGCATTTTCAACTCTAACTAATATGGCTTCTTTTTCACTGCCTGTTTTCCGCGCTTGGCTACCATCAGATAGCAAAGCCATAAAAGATTTGCTAGCAATAATAGTCGCTACTTTCACTTTTATTACCTCGGCAATGCAATGAATAAATTATCTGGCTAAAATAAAAATACAACTTAAATTAACTTTAACTTTAATTTAAAAGTTATTCCAAAATAATTATGTAAAATTACATTGAAATATTGAAAAATATAAAATCATAAATTGTATATATTTAAAGTGTTAAATATAAAAAAACGATAGTTACGGTATTTCTTAAGGGCTACCGCCCCCCCCCACCTGTTCCCACACCAATGTGTGTATATATATATATATATATATATATATATATATATATATATATATATATATATATATATATATATATATATATATATATATATATATATATATATATATATATATATATATATATATATATATATATATATTAAATGAAGTTACCAGCATTTTTGTTGCTTTTTCCGTGCATTAATTGGACACCATTATCACGTTGAACCTTTATAAGTATCTCAAAATGACTATGTGGCATAGCAGGATGCAATGCCATTTCATATGCAGTGCGCATTAACTTCAAAAGTTGATGCATTTTTTGAGATATCGGTATCCGTTATAGGACTCTGAGATTCATTTATTTTAACTATAGAAGGAGAGTTACTAACTTCCTCAAATCGCGCAGCCTCTTTATGTGCCTTTGTTGATAAATGCCTCATAACCTGTAATATAGGTATAATAAGTAAGATTACATCGTAATGTATAGCTATATATTTTTTACCTTTTTAATGTACTGTACATTATAAATATTAAACCTGATGATGTGTTACAACATTTGTTCCATTTGTAAAAGCATTTAAGGAATTTCTAGCAATCCCCAATATTGAAGTGTGAATGCTGTTTTTATGTTTAGCGCACAGTTTGCACCAGATTTTAACTACAGTTTCTATATCGTTTAATTTTATAACTTCTTGACGAAGAAAATTATATTTCCACGATTGAACAGTTTTTAGTGATTTTGTGATTCTAACCTGATTACTCAGAGTCAAGTCTCGCCTTTTATTACGTTGAAATTATTCAATTGCATAATTTTGTAATTACGAAAGAAGTTTAAAATAATTGCATTGCTTAAAATAATTGCCTCGCTTCTGTAATTATTGTTACAAAAATAGCTCCCTTGGGACATTTACTTTTAACACTCGTTCATAATGTCAATTAATAATTGCAAAACAAAATGTTAATTAATGATTGCAAAAGTTTTTACGCTCTTTTGTGTATCAATACATTTAAACATTTAAATGTATTTACGAAACGATTAAACACATAAATTTAAAAAATTTTTATAATTCTAGCGTGAATTTTTAAGTATTATCGACTGATAAAATGGTAAACAAATTTTACATTACAAGGTCTTTTCATTTTCATTAAATTTATATAAACTATAATCTTTTTCTTTTTCCTTGTTTTGTAATGATTTGATTTTTCATAGCTGAATTAACTACCACTCTAAAAAACAAGAAAAAATAAATAAATGAAATATAGATAAATCTTTGTTTTATTAATATTCATTACTTTTTTAATTTTGAAGCACAAACAGATTTCTTTTATTTACTTTAGCATTGCTTGTATTTTTGCGGTATTTTTGTTTAGCTTTGTTTTGGCGCAAATTCTTGAAACGCGTAATAATAAAACGTGGTCAGTTAATCAAAAAAATTTATTCTATGCGTGGACAAACAAGGCGTGCGACCGCACGCCTTTCCTGGTAAAGCCTGATAAGAAGCGCATTTGTTAGCAGGAAACGAAAGATGTCTACTCAAGGTCCATCACAAAGGAAATCACAGAAAATGTACCAGTCAGTTTTAAGATATTTGTAAGAGGTATGATGATAGGGGATTCCCATAATGAGGAAGAATGAAAAAATGTGGAGAAACTGAGCGCTGATTAGGATCAGAAACAAGACATAAGTTGAGTAGAGAAGGTAATGTTGTGGATTGTCTAGTAAGCGATTTGGAAAGTTGACTATTTGTGTTAGAGATTGAGAAAAGCAAAAGTGGTGGTCCTTTGTGTACCTCAAGTAAACAAAGTTACTCTCAAGTCTTTGCTTAGGATGTCTTCTACAAGACAGTAGCCAGATGCATTTAACATTTGCCCAAAATGAGTTTTTTTTTTTATCTTGACACTATATATCCTTTACTCAACCAAGAGTCCCAAGGCATTGAGTGTTAAGTCAGATTTGGCATCTCCTAGCATCTCTTTAGTACATACGTTGACTATCTTATATCCTGTTGCCGTTAGGAGGTGCTGCTACTTTGACTGAGGGCTTGGGCTGGGTAGCAATTTTTTCTTTTATTATTCTTTGTATTTTTGCTTCTTTTTCAGAAAAATTAAGCACATGTTTTTAGAATACGAGAGCAAAAAGGATGTAAAGAAATTGTGGAAAAAATATTTTGATTCGTTTATATTTAAACTTATTAGTAAAATTTTTGAAGCAAACAAACAGTATATGTCAAAGTATTTCCCTAAACCAAACTTAACCTAACTAAATCTTAATGAATCATACCTTAGCTGTCAAATGATAACTCAATAAATTATACCTTAGCTGTCAAATGATAACCTAACTAAATCTTAATGAGTCTTACTATAGCTGTCAAATGATAACCTTAAATGTAAAATATGTAAGTATAGATTATAATATTTATTTGTTAAATATTTCTTTAACAAATAACCTAGGGTAACTGTGATTATTTTTTTTTTAATTCATTAACAAGCATATATTACTTACAGACAATATACACTTTAAAAACATAAATTCGCTCTCATTTTTTATAGATATCTATAAATCAATAATGCTAACCTACTAGTACTTGTTCAAAATAAAAGAAATAGAAAACAAAAAAATAAATTTTTTTATAAAACTTTTAATTTTGCAATTTAATACTTTTTGCATAGCAAACAAAAAACAATAAAATTAGCAAACAGTGAATTTGTATAAATAAAATATGTTAATAAATAAATAAAGTTTTTAACATTTTTTAATAAAGCACGCAATATTTTAATAGGACGAACTATTTGACAAAGCCCGTGGTGAGTTACTTGATGAGGCGATGAGCCTGTCACAAATTCAGCCACAAGAATGGGAAAAACTCTTAGCATCAAATTTATGGAATGTTGTGCAAGATTATGCTATTGAGACAGTGTACTTTCCTTCTGCTCAAACAGCTAATTCATCTCAATTTAAAACTAAAGTTGATATTCTCTTAAAACAATGGGCTGAACGTATGTTGCCTTCGCATGCTGTGCAGGTAAATTAGTTAAAACATCTAGCTACATTATTTTAAGGAATAAACTTCAAGAACTTATCTATTTTATGTCTATTGTTTAATGCTAACTTGTGTAAACATTTATTACCAGTTCACTAGTGTGAACTTTCATCACCAGTTCACTAGTGTAAACTTTCATCACCAGTGCGCTAGTCTGAAATAAATAATTAAAACAAACTTAAGCATATCAGTGAGTTAGAAACTAGTGCAAACTAGTCAATTATAAATTAATCATGAACCAGAAGAAACTAGTGAGTTATGAAGTGTTGGAAACTAGTGAATTATAGAGTACATGGAATTAGTGTGTTATGAACTAGTCATAACTTGTAAGTTATGGCTTTAGTCTATATTTATGTTTGGACATTTGCAATTTGCTATTTTAGGTTGGATATGATACTCTTTTAGCAGAATTCATTAAAGCAATGAATGTAACTATATTAATTTATTTTTTTTAATATTTGTTTTATTTTTTAAATCTTTTTTTTTTATTAATTCATTCTACGAATTTTGGGAAATTTGTTTTGACAACAATTTAAATAATATCAACAACTAAAACAAATCAACTATACCAAACCATTACATTTTTAACTTTTTCTTTAGGAAGGTGTAGAAATTGGAGGAAAAAAAGATGCTCACAGTGCTTTATTTAAAGATCTTAAAGATCGTGTAAAAAAAGAATGTGAATCAACGCATAGCTGGCAAGCTCGAGCAAAAGAATCATTGGTAAGTTTTAAACTATTAGTAATATAATAAATGTATAAGTATATAAATATAATCAAATCTTTGAATGTCAATTTAAACTAAATTAAAATCTCCATATTTTTATCAAATGCTATTAAATAGTATTTTAATTATAATCAAATCTTTGAATGTCAATTTAAACTAAATTAAAATCTCCATATTTTTATCAAGTGCTATTAAATACAAATTCATTCAAAAAGTTTATAAAACAGTACTGCCGTTTTGTCTTGATAATGACTGTTACTCTACAATAATTAGTTTCAAGTAGTAATATAATTGATTTTTTAAGCGAGTTATTCAGTTGTCAACATTAGAAGATAGCAATGTCCCAAATAAAGAGCAATGGGATGATGCCATTAAATTTATGGAGGAAACCTTGATAAAGGAAAGTGAGTCAAATGAAAAAGTGCTTTCAAAACTGATTGGCCCTGGGTGGCAAGAAAGATTTTTGTATTGGACCAGCAGATCTAAGGAACAGGTTTTTAGATTTTAATAAAATAATTTCTAAATACATTATACATAAATATATATATATATATATATATATATATATATATATATATATATATATATATATATATATATATATATATATATATATATATATATATATATATATATATATATATATATATATATATATATATATATATATATATATATCAGAAAAAAAGGAAAAATTTGTACTTTATTATCATTTTTAAATTATTCAAATTTAACTTTTAAGAACTTGAACAATGAAGTTAAAAAAGAGTTGCAGCGTTTATTACAATCAGTGAATACTGTTCACTCACCTCAATTAGATGATGATGAGATTACCACTGTTAAAAGAAATTTGCAAATTAATAATATAGAAGTTTCACATCATGAAGTGAGTTGATTTTCCATAGTAATTTTTGTAGTTTTTTTGAATTAACAACAATTTTTTTTTTTTTTTTTGTTAGATCCTAATAGCCTGATTTATTCATTATGGTTTTTGTAACTTAATACATGTTTTTACAATAAAATAAGTCATCTTACAAGTCTAGAAATTTATTTATATAAATAAAATTTCTAAATAATTTATAAGTCAAGAAATCAGTTTAGGTATCATTCTACTGATTGATAGATTGAAATAGTAAATGTATTAAATGTTGAGACCCTGACTGTTCACTTTTGTAGTACAGTACAGTCAATGCATAAAAGTTAATTTATAAGACAAAGTTAAAGTCTAAATAACTGATATAATAATATATTTAGTAGAAACAGTTATCATTTTAGAATAATATTAAATTGAATCATGCCTTTGGGTTTTAATCTTAAATTTTGAATTGTTGTGTTAATGACAATATTTGAAAGTGCAGTTGAGGTTATATGATGCCTGAAACAGGAAAATGTTGTATCTATGGACTATAACTCCAACTTAAAACCCTTTTTAAAGAAACCAGTTGAATGCAGTTAAGGTTCCTTTCAGTTCAGGTTCTTCTGATTTGGTTTTAAACATAAAACCAGTTATTTGTTTTTTTCAGTTCATTTTATTTTTTTTAATTTTATTTAAGGGCATTAACTTTTTTAACTTACCACAATAAAATAAATTACCGCAAAACAAGTTTACTTTACTAATTAAAAAAAAACAAATCTAGAAGTGTTATTTTCTAAATGTGCATATTGTGGAATATCAATTTTGTTTCTTTTTTTTTTTCTTTTTTTTTTTTGAAATATTAAATGATTAAGTTTAATATTACATTTTTAATTATCATTTAATATAAAATAATTTAATTTTTCTTTTCTTGACATTTGTATAAATGCATTAAAATATCATAACATTTTTTTTCATTATTTCTTAAAATTGCACCTTTGCAAATAATGATTTTTTACTTTTAAAATGTCAACAAAAAATATTACTTGTTGCAAAGAAAAAAAACTCAAGTTAATTACTTTATCAGTCCTTTTTTGTGTGACAAAGAAAGTTTTAAATTTCCAAGTACCATTTATTAAAAAATATATACTGTTGTGCTTTCACTTACCTTAAAGCAAAAAAGTTAAAAGTACAACATCTTTTTTTTTTTCTTTTGATGAACATTTTTAATGGAAAAGTTAGAATAATAAAATTAAAATTTTCTTTGTTTTTTTTTTTTTTTTTTTCTGACTTATTATATTTGTGAAACGTAATTTTTACACATAATTGTCATTCAAACTTTATAATTGGTTTTTAAAAACTTTAATTACTTCTTTTATCTTACCGCTTAAACAGTATCTTTAGACTTGTTTAAATATTTAAAAATGATAAAAAATGGCTTATGTGAAATGGATTTGCGCTTATGTTAAATAGCTTGGCGCGTATGAAAATGGTGCGCTAGTTTATGCTTTGAAACAAGGCCTGTATTCATTGAAGCTTTTTCACGCTTTTCCCCTTTTTCCTGAGTCAATATTGCTTCTTTTATTTCATCACATTATTTATATTCAATCAAGTGCAGACCTTTGTAACGTGAGTCTATGGAGTCATGGAAAACCAGATACTGTAGAAGAATTTGATCAGCACACTTTTTTGATGAACTAACTATTAATGGTGAATGATGAACTAACTATTAATGGCAAAAACTAGCTCAAGATGCTTATAGAATTTTTTTTACCCAATATTGGTTCAAAACCATCGTCAGACAAATCTATGCACTTTACACCCCTGGTGTTAAAACTTGGTTAAATGAGAAGTTCCCAGAATAATGGATTGGTCAACGAGGTCCAATCGAATGGGCTGATTGTAGAGCAAGATAACAATTAGCAGTCGACTTTAAAGATTGCAAATTATATGAATCAGGAAAGCAAGATAAAGGAAGCAAATTCCAAAGAACTAATGTTGGAGGAAAAAAACTAGACGAATAAGAGTATTTAGAGCACTTAAGAACAGTCACAGAAAAAGGATGAGACTTAATTGAATGACGAGTAAGATATTTTAGTAGATAGCACGAAAGACCGTAGCTCATTAGAGCAGTGCTTATTATAGTATTTGTAGAAAAGAGAAAGAGAAGCAACATTACGACGATGTGATAATGGTTAAAGGTTGGCTGCAAGAGCAGGTCCAACTATGTTTGCAATGCGTTTTTGCACCTTGTCTAAAAGAGAAAGGCATCTTTAGAAGAGCTTAAATAAATTGAGTTTTATTTGAATTAAAGTTCACCAGCCACTATGAACCCCATGCTGTAGCAGAAGTGAGATCCTTTTCAAGCTCAAATGCCCCCTCCAAGCTATTAGAGGGTTGGCTTCTTATCAAGAATAAATGGTAGTATCATCAGCGAACAATGCCACCTTAGATGTGAGAATATCTGGAAGATCGTTAATGTAAATTAAAAGAGTATATCGCCATAGATTGAACCTTGAGGAACCCCTGAGGTTATAGAATAAAAAGAAGAGTGCTGTCCATCAAGGACAACTTTTATACTACGATTGGAAAAGAAGGATTCAATAATCTTAAAGATGTTTCCAGATACACTGTAAGAAGAAAGCTTTTGAAGAAGACCAGCATGCCAAACTTTATCAAAATCTTTAGAAATTTCAAGAGCGATAGCCTTGACTTCTCCACCTCTATCTAATGTACAATAAATCCTATAGGTTATTACTGTTAGCAAATCAGCTGTAGAAAGAGAAGTTCAAAATCCATATTGATGATCAGAAAGTTATTAGATTCAAGATGAGAGATTAAGTGTTTGTTAATTAAAGATTCAAAAACCTTGCTTATGATAGGAAGAAGACTAATGGGATAGTAGTTATATGAGTCAGATTGCTCTCCAGAATTTTCGAAAGTAGGGATAATAGGTGCCGCTTTTTAGCATGCCGAAAAACAAGACTCTGATAAGCACTTATTAAATAGTTTTAAAAGTATGGATGACAGCTCCAGAGAACACTTCTGCAAGACTAAAACAGGTATGTTGTCTGGAACACAAGCTGTAGAAGAATGTAAGCAGGAAATCACTTTAGATACAGAAGCTGGAGTGATACGAATGTCAAGCAATGGATCAACCTGTTTGGCGGCTATATCTGGTAGAATGCGTCTAGTGGAATCAAGAGATGTTATTAATGAAAAACTTAGCAAACAATTCATTGTTGTCTTTAGGTTAGGTGACAAAGTCTGAACCATACAAAAGAAGTGGAATTGTAGATTTGCCCTTATTATTGGTACTATTAAAGATTCTCTAGAAGTCATGAGACCCTAATTTTTGTGATGAGATATGAGATTTCATGACCTGAGAATAGCGGGCTTTGGTATTAGACAAAATCATTTTACAATGGCTCCTAACAGTAATAAACAGGCGTCTGTTTTCTGGAGAATTGTTTTGCTGACAGATATGGAAGTAATGGTTTCGATTAGCAATTGCAACAGCACTATGTGAGAAAAACCATGGAGAAGAGTGAGACTTGACCTGGAATTGTCAAGCGGGAATAAAAGATTTCATGCCAGCCTAAATCCACAAAGTTATGTAAGAAGCACGTTTGTCAACAGGAAGACAAAAGATTTCTACCCAAGGGTCATCACGAAGAAAGTCATGGAAAGAGTCCCAATTAGCTTTAAGGTAGTTAAAAGATGTATGATGATAGGGGAATTCTGATGATAAAGAAGAATGAGATAATAGTTTTAGAGAGATCAAACTGTGATCAGAGGCACCTAAGGGTGAATGTAGAGAAACTGAGTACTGATTAGGATCAGAAACAAGACTTAAGTAGAGAAAGTGAATGATTGGGGTTGTCTGGAAAGCGAGTTAGAAAGTTGACTATTTGAGTTAGTGATTGAGAAAGGCAAACATTGTGGGTTTTAATGCCTGCAGAGTCGCTGACACGAGAGCCAAGCCATTCAGTGTGATAAGCATTAAAGTTGCCAACAACAACAATATTGGCTGATCGATAAAGAAAGAGGGCTTGGTCAATATGGTCAGAAATAACATCAAGAAGAGTGCAGTCTTGAGATGAAGGAGAGTGATCTAGAACAAAGAGAAAGGTGATAGAGTGAAGTGGTCCTAAATGAAAGCACATAAAAGAGTAGTCTGTGGATTCAAACCTAGTTTCCCAACAAATGGGTGAATTCTTACAGATGTAAATGTCCAGGCCAAGCATGTGACTATTGGAGTATTTACAAATTAAAGGAAGATAACCATCAACACTAAGATCACAAGATGAGACAGCTGAACTCAAATTAGTCTCACAAAGAGCAAGTAAGTCTGGTGAACTTTTCAAGAGATAAAACTCAACAGAAGAAAAGTTACTTCGAAGACCACGAATATTAGTGAATGATAGGTTTAGCAAATTTGGTGATGACAGTGGTTTTTTGTGTTTTATTGTTTTTGTTACTTTATTCATTTTTAAATTTGTTAAAGAACTTGACTCAAAACATAGATAGTACTCATTTTTATAGTCCAAGCAATTGCCTCATTACTATTAATAAATCCTAAGCCGTAACATAGGGCTCCAATATGGCCTTGGCAATGCACACCAAAAGTACAAACAGGGACACCATCCATGCGCAACATGGTACTGTTAGTACTTTGATATTTTTCCCTGTTGATGTAATCAGCCTCTCTGAGAGCTACTACAGAGTTCATGAAACCTGACTACCAGCTGGCCTCAGAACCATAAAACTGAGTTTTAGAGCTGTACCCTCATTTAAAGATAATAGAATGAGTTGCCTTGTCATAAAAACAGAGACACAAGCAAAATCCATGCATAGAGTCAAGAAGATCCAGCATTCAACATCCTAAACTGGAAACAATTTATTAAAAATACATCTTCGCCAGCCTTATAGATGAAGAAGGGGTGGGAGGCTGGTCAACAGATAGAATCTGTTAATCCTTTAAGTCTTTGTCTAGCAGGCCTTCTACAAGACAGCAGCTGGATGCATTTAACTTCTGCCCAATATGAATATTTTTATCAAGACACTTCTGCCGAAGATGATTTTTTTTATCGAGTTTAACACTTTATTTTTATCGAATTTAACATCTACCCAAGATGAGTATTTTTATCAAATACCTGTATTTATTAATATAAATAAATTTAGGCAATTTTTTATATATCAGTTTTTGATGCTCAAGAAACCCATGTAATCTCGATGATATCAAAAAAATATATATTACACATCATTCTATATTCATTGATCTTTTAAAAAGTATAAAGATTTTGATCTGCAAGTATATAGATTTCCATATATGGATAATGGGGTACGGTCCCTACTTTTTTGTAGCGGAATATTACAATTGAATTTTCACTAACTTCCAGACTAGCTAGAGCTCTGAAACATTTGGCATTTCTGTAGTGCCAATGAATATGCATGCTATAGTTGTTTTCAGGGCCCAAGACATCAGGGGTGGGGGACTGGGTCAAAGGTCCACTTCTTTGAAATGGAACCTTGTGATAGATTTCACTACTTTTCAGACAAACTGAAGCTCTGAAACTTTCAGCGTTTTTGTAGTCCTGATCATTGTAAAATTTTTTCCAGGGTAGATGACCAGAGGGTCCATAAGGCTGGGGCACTAGAGGTCATGCCCCACTTTGGTCTAACAGTAACAAATGCAATAACAGTAATATACAATAATAGTAACAAATACAATAACAGTAACATATAATAACAGTAACAAACCCAATAATAGTAACAAATACAATAACAGTAACAAACTAAATATACTTAAATCCTAAAAATGAAAATTACAAAATAAATATTAAAAATTTTTAAATACAAAATTGCAGCCTTTTATATTTTCCAAATAATTCTTTTTTTTTTTATGATTTTGTATTTACAGTATTTTATTTGTATTTTTTTGTTTTTATGTAATTTTTAATATTTATGTGTATTTCAATATTTTAGATATTAAATGTTTGGAAAGCATTATATAGGTCATATTTTATTGATATATCATTGCAAGGAGCTCAGGAATGCAGAAAAGCATTTCATCATCGTAATCTTGCAAGAAATGAAGTTTGTTATATATTTATTTATATTGCTTTTCAAAAAATTAATTTTCATTTAATGTTTTTAATTTAAGTAATTTAATGTTAAGGTTTTTATTTTAACATTTAACACTCGGTATATTTAATGTCTCTAGCTTGAGTGCAATGACGTTATATTGTTTTGGAGGTTTAAAAACATGTTAGCTGCAACGAGTAATTCACTACGTCAGCAAATAATGAGTACTGAAGGTATAATAATTAGAATGATTTTTTTTTTAGTGAGTTAATATTTGTGATAAATAAATTTTGAACTAATATTGTGATATTTTTTTATACATACAGTATAGACTTTCAGTATACTACTTGTTTGCATAAGCAGCATTTTCTTTTAGACATGCTGTCAACATGTCATAAGTTCTGGGTACCAGTCATTACATAATGTAAAAGAAATTCACATGAAACTGAAATTCATCCATTTAAATTATGCAACAAAAGCACTAAAAACAGTGCATTTGTGTAAAATTATTGTCTGAGCCAAGAATAAATACTCATAACTGATTTGAAATATACTACACGATGCTAAATTGGGCCTAATAATCACTATATACATGTATTTATGTCATATCTTACTGTTTTTTGTTTATTTTTGATGTTTTATTTAGATTTTTGTTTGCAATATTTAAAGTTTTTGACCAAAAGAATTATTAACCTGTTATTTAATTTTGATAAAATGGTGTTTGAGATTTGATATTTTATTGATTTTTTATTTTTATTACTTATTAAACTCTATTGAATTCTTGAAAGTAATTTGATAAAAATTTTTTACTTAGTTTAATTTAAATTAATAGTATTTTTAATTGTCAAAATCTGATAATATTGATCACATGACATAGTGAAATTATTTTTTTAATTAAAAATTTATGTTTTAAACACAATTGTTTTAAACATATTGAAAAGGCTTAAATATTTTTTTTTATTTATAAAAAATTATTTTGCAATATTTTGTAATATTTTAACTCCATAGGAGTTAAAAATTATAATATATGGCAAAATGAATTAATCAGGGGTTTAGATGTTTAAATACTTATCTAAACAAATCAACTCCTATTAATATGCATTTTATATACCTGAACCTGTTTCTTAAATTAATTATAAAAAGATGCAAGGGAACAAAAGAGTAATAAAAACATGTATGTATGTAGTTATATTAACGAAGAAAATGGCTCCAACTATATGAGCCAAAATATTACATTTAAAATTAAAAAATTTTAATAGTTAAATAAATTGTATGTCACTGTATATGATGTATTTTCAATTTTATATATAAGTTTCATCATACTATTAAGGTATCATTAAAATATATATGTATATATATATGATGTATTTTCAATATTATATATAAATTTCATCATACTATTAAGGTGTCATTAAAATATATATGTATATATATATATATATATATATATATATATATATATATATATATATATATATATATATATATATATATATATATATATATATATATATATATATATATATATTTATATATATATACACACAGTATCGGATAAAACAAGTGCAACCAAGTAATGCTTATTTAGTTTCTTTATATAAAAGTGCTGCTTTTTTTCAATTTAGAGAAATAACTATGTAACTGTTCAGAGATAACGTTCTTCAAGTTTTATTCATTACAAAGTTCATTAATTGTACATGAAAATTTATAAATTAATCAAAAGTATTAAAAAAAGTTGATTTCCTTCTGGACAAAACTAGTACAACTCCACAAAATGTTGACCAAGCTGTATTTTGCTATCAATATTATGTGGCGAATCCTTTGTTGCCAATCACAGTCTTGCATCTTCAAGGCATAGATTCACTTAGGTGATCAATGAAACTTTGTGGAATCACTGCCCAGGCCTTTTGGATTCGTTCAAACAGTTGATCCTTATTACGAACACCTCCACAATTAATTCTGCGGTTGACGATCTCCCACAGGTTCTTGATATGGTTGAGATCCGGAGATTGAGGTGGCCAATCCATCACCGATTGGTGGTTGTCTTGAAACCACTGCTTGACTACTTTTGCAGTGTGTTTCGAATCATTGTCTTGCTGAAAAACCAATTTTATTAGCATATTCCATTCAGCATGAGGTAACATAACATCTTTCAGGACATTTTTATACATGAAACGGTCCATTATTCCATCGATTCGATGTATTGGACCTAGACTGTTAGCTGAAAAACACCCCCAGACCAATACATTGCCTCCACCATGCTCCACGGTCGTAGGCAGTAACGTAAATTGAGGCGTTTTCCGGCCGGTCGACAAACAAGGCAAATGCCATCTCTCCCAATGATGTTGAACTTCGATTCATCACTGAACAGGACGATGCGCCATTCCAGTCAATATGAGATGTAGCAAACAGGAGTCTTTTCTTCTGGTTCTTTAGTGAAATCAGCGGTTTCTTTGCAGTGCGTCGAGAAAACAATCCGGCCTCAACAGCACGTTGTCTCATTGTTAGGTATGATACAGGCAGCTCTAATTGCTTTTGTATCTTGACTGATGATATCCAGAGATCCTTCTTGACTGATCTGACGATCATAGAATCCACTCTAGAAATGGTGGAACGCGGTCTCCCACCTTCGTTATCTGCTGCCAACTTCCCCTTAGAACAATATTTGGAACATAGTCTTGATACGATCCATTTTTTCACGCTATATTAATCACAAATACTTATTTGTGACATTCCACTTAAATAATCGCCAATAGTTTTTTTTCTTAGTTTCAATCCAAGACTGTTGGGAGCCATTTTTGCACTTGAAGTCATAAAAATAATAAAAATAAATATTCACGCTTCTCAAGGCTTACTGTGTTACATTAACCTTGTGATGATACAATAATGCTCTGTGGAACACATTGTCTTGGTTGGATGTGGACTGTATTGATGTAATGAAACACTTGTTGTATTTCACTTCTTGTATTGATGTTCTTCGATAAAACACTTTGATAAAACTCACTTCGATAAACTGTCTTGATAATACTGACTGATTGAGTTCCATATACTGACTGAATTACATGTTGGTTTACATGTCTCTTATATAGTAAAATAAATCTGTGTGAACTTGTTCTGGAAGATTCTAGATGCTTCTTTTCGATGCTTCTGCAAGCTTCTGGATGCTTCTGAATGTATCTGGATATATATATATATATATATATATATATATATATATATATATATATATATATACATATACATATACATATACATATACATATACATATATATATATATATATATATATATATATATATATATATATATATATATATATATATATATATATATATATATATATATATATATATATATATACATACACACACATGAGTGCCGGCTGGATTAATTGACATTTTGTATCAGACACTTTCACACATTGTGCAGACTTTAGTATGTTCATACCTTAGCCAAATAGAGAAGCTTTGCAAAAATTTAACTTAGCAAAAGCTTTCGAACTAAAAAGCCAAAAAACATAAAATGCTTTCCCCCGCCCAATGCTGCCCAATGTATGTTTATACCATATGCCCAATGTATGTTCATGTCAAAGGAAAAAAACTTGCAAAAATTTGAGAAGGGCAGGGGCCTGACAACAAAAAAGCCCTAAAATAATTCCCCCATATATATATATATATATATATATATATATATATATATATATATATATATATATATATATATATATATATATATATATATATATATTTATATATATATATATATATATATATATATATTTATATTTATATATATATATATATATATATATATATATATATATATATATATATATATATATATATATATATATATATATATATATATATATATATATATATATATATATATATATATATATATATATATATATATATATATATATATATATATATATATATATATATATATATATACAAACTTGTTTTAGCACGTCGTTTGGAAAATGAGGTTAAAGAGATACTTGATGAAATATCTCAGGATGAAGAGCTCAAAAAAAAGCTTATCAAAGGTCGCCAAGTTGATCTCGCTGAAGAACTGAGTATGTTTTGAAATTATTTTTTTTTTTTTTTTTTTTTTTATATATGTAAAGTAAAGATAACCGTCAGATGGGGTAATATAGGCACATTTTAAATGTTTTTTTTTTTCCCAATAATTTGCTAAATACAAGAACTATAAACTCGTATATTTTATTTAAGGATTACTTATACAATATGCAAATTAAATGCGAAAATCAGCAAATCATTTTTAAAACTTTAGTAACAACTCATTAATGAAAATCAATTTTGGAAAATCTAAAAATGGGCTAATTTGGCAACAAAAATTGCATTGGTATTTAAATCTTTTTGATGCTATCCGGATGCTTTGTGGCCTTTCTGTAAATCATTTTCTTAGAGCCAGGGTTGTCAGTGAAATTAGTGTTATCATAGTTCATTACATTAGAAGGACAATGTCCTTGATCAGTTTGTGCAGATTATTGAAAAAAACAAGCTGTTTTTCACTTACAGCTGCACGACTCCTTACCATGTTCTGACCGATTCTCTGCAAATTTAGTCCTAATGTTTTTTCAAAAATCCGTAAGCTTAATCTCCTCCAGGGAAGTTCTTGTTTGTATGTAAGATACTTTTGATAAAGTATCTCAACTCAAATAGATCCTGAGCAAATCAAATATTGTCAAGTGCAAATATAGTTATTATTTTGAGCAATGACAAGGTCTTTATCGGCAGGAATGGCAGTTCGACCAGGTTTCCGCATATTTTAGGTCTTACCATATAAGTAATTTCTAAGAGTTGATCTGAGTTTCAGATGTCTCAGAGGCCCTTTTAACCGGATTACCAACAGCTATGGCCTTCATAGCCTCATCAACTCGTTCTATGGAGTAGTTACTGTGTGCATAACCTTCCTTTTATTTATATGTGCATGGCATATTTCAACTGATTAAAAAATAAATTAGATATTTATAAACCATATCATTAAGTGGTCATATTACCCCAGTTTTTAAAATGGCCCACTTAGCTTTATGTAAATGCTTTCAGCCTTAAAATGCACTTACCTTGTTTTGTGTAAAATTTTGGCCTAATTGACACTCAAATATTTGCTCTGCAAATATTTGAGGGTCAATTAGTGTTATTAAAATCTGTGAAGACAAAAATAATGACATGTGAAAAACAACGAGTATTATTTTAATTTTTTTTTGTAACAACCATTCAAATCTCAGGTTAACATAGGATTATATAATGTATGTAGAGTTGGACACAGCATTTGTAAAATTTTAACAGTTTTAGCAAAAAACTTATGATAAATTATGATAAACTGGCCATATTACCCCCTCGGTGGCCATACTCCCCCATCTGACGGTATTTGTAAAATCAGTAATTGTAACGCGTAATTATAAAAGACTAGGTTCTAAATGTTTGGAATTGCGTGAAGAGTGTAATGCAAATTCTTCTATATAAAGAGAATTTGTATGCGCAATTATTACTACGTTATTTCATGGAGGTTCAACCTTATTTACGGTAAGCTTTTTTGCGATATCTTTTAATTTTTTTTGTATCTAATTGTTGTAAGTTTGTTGCAACTTTTTTTTAATGTTTTTGTAGAACGTGTGCGTCACATTCAAGAGTGCTTAGAACAGTTTGTAGAGGCTTTAAAACGCGAAAAAACAACTACAAGCTAATGCTATTATATCACGTCGTTATTCGAATTTAGTTATATATTTATATTTTGCTAATACATCCTCATCATCCGTTAAAGAAATTTTCGAGTTAAATTATCTAGAAATTTATGTTGATATAAATATTTTAATCAAATTTGCGACAAAATGTAATAAACGGTTAAAATTTTTCTCAAGGCATGCCAATGGTTACAAAAGATGACTTCATTCTATACACTGCGTATCATGATGACACTGCGTACCGTAATACAATGTATGAAAAATAAGTAAATTTAGATAATTTTGAAAGAAATTAATAATGGAAAAATTTAAAGCATAAAAACTATTCCTCAAAATGTCTTTACATGTTTTCATGATCGTCCATAAATTACGCAACGCTAAATTTGTTTTTAAAAAAGAATTAGTATATGTTAATCTCTTTAACGCAGCGATTTTCATTAAATTTAATGAGCTATTTTGATTTTTTATAGAAGAATAACTATTAATCTTTTTTGTTTTGATTATTAGTGAAATTATGCGTTGCATAATTAATGGACGATCCTTTAACGCACTAAAGAATTTAAGTGGCTTTTAAATACTTATTACATAATGAATCCATATTAATCATATGTGTGTGTGTGTGTATATATATATATATATATATATATATATATATATATATATATATATATATATATATATATATATATATATATATATATATATATATATATATATATATATATATATATATATATATATATATATATAAATATATATATATATATATATATATAAATATATATATATATATATATATATATATATATATATATATATATATATATGTTTGTATATATTTGTATTAAGAACTATGCATCAGTTTTTATAAGATAGGCAATTTTAAAAAATATTACGAGTTTTTTTATTCTGATTTTAAAATTATAAAATTTATTCAAATGCTTAAGAATGCTCCCAACAAATTTCTGTGTTTGTTCTTAGGGAATTTGTTGTATGAAATGAAGTAAAAAAGAGTCTAGTTGCCATTTAAGTTCCTAATTGATATTTAAATACCTTATAATTCAGTTCCTAGTTTCTCGTAATCTTTGTTATATAGGCAGGTTCTTAGATAACAATGTGGCTAGGTAAGAACTTTCAAATTAATTTGTTTTTATTTATAATTTCAGTGTGAACTGTTATGATTAAATTTAACAGCTTAAAAACATTATTAAAACCCCAACTCATAACATTAAGTTGGTACATACGGTATTGAAAAAAAAATCCGTTTCTTTTTTATTTTTATTTAGTATATAACCTTTTATCAATAACATGCAGTTTAACTTAAGGCTAGAAAAAAATCAAACATTTTTATTGTAAGGAAAGTTCCTAAAAATTCTTAGGGAAAAAAAAGATCTATTTAAAAGGTTTTTAATGTCTACAAATGCCACCCACATTTGTAAACATTGTAAAACCTTTTAATTGGGTACCAAGAAAGCTAGCATTGCATCTACAAACCCACTATTTTTAAAGTATTTAGATTTTAAAGAATGGCTGATAAGAATATTTTTATTATCATAATTACAATATATATTATTATATCAATGATTACTTTATCACAGCTTACCTTATTTTTGTTAATAATAATAAGGTAAGCTGTGATGATTAAAAAATCAGTTGTAGAACACACTTACAGAAGACGTTGTGTTAAATGTGTGTGTGTTATATTGTTTTTATTGTTATTGATTCAACAATAAGTAGTGGTAAACTATTCCAAGAAATGGAATAGTCATGCTAGATATTTGAGAAAATATCTAGCATAATCTAGGTAACTTTTGTCTTTGTATAAATTTTTTTATGCTTAAACTTACTCGCTACTACTTTTTCTAAATAAAATCTCAAATTTTTCAACACAAGAAATTCATGGTTTTATACTTGAAAAACAATTGTTAAAATCACCTCCTCGATTATTATGTTAATATAAAGTTAATAGTCAATGTGTCCGGCTTTTGTTTAAGAACGTTATAATAACAATTATTCCAAAAATAATTGGTATCGTGTAATTTGATATCATGAAGGATGGTCTCGTGTCGATAACATCACTATCAGTTCGATACCACACGATACAGATAATAAAAGGAGTTGCATGGTCTCTTACGGTCGCATAGTCACGAATACAAAAAAAAAAATATTTTTATACTATTTTCTCTTTTGATATATAGACAAAAAGTATCAAAAAGTGGTTACTTAGGTTTTTTCACTAAAACCAAAGTAAACACATTTCACTGAGCGAGATAAGAAAATAAATGATGGAAGCGATACCACAGTTCATTACATTAAAGTTGCTATACTATATGAAACATTAAACGATAAATATTATATACGATACCTTTTTCCTAATCTAAGTGTTTTTATTATACTTCAGGAGTCAATTATATAGCGTAGAAAGGGGGAGAAGTGGGATATCTAAAAAATTGCAATTAGAAGAAGTCTCTAATAAATGTTATCTGATGTATGATAAGATTCCCCCCCCCCCCCCCTATTCCCAACTTTATTCAGCAAACATCACTTTGTTTTCTAGATGTACTTTTAAGTTATCCTTAAAAGGATAATATCTATCCTATAATATACTATCCTTAAAAGGATAGGCCCGCAAAATACGTGATTTTCAAGTTAAAAATATTCTGCCAGGTTGCGGTTAATGGTTTAAATTTTTCAACGAATCCGATTGATTAGCTCCATATAGATCATATTGCGTTTGTAAAAATTATATATATCTAAAAATATATGTGAGCCTCTCATTAGATCTTAAAGAATAGTTATTGTTTTGATTTATTTTAAATTTTGTTTGAAAGTTGCTTGATGTAAATTTTTTTAAATGATTATACATTAAGATCATGTGTTGAAATCTCATATACATTCAACATATTCATTTCCCTCATTAATGGCTTTGCATGTTCAAATCAATATTTTTTGTATAAAGTTCTGTTAGTATGTTTTTACACACTAAATATTTAGTGTGTAAAAACATACAAAAAATGTCTAGCAGTACTATAATTAATGTAGCTATGAATTAGGCTGAAGTATATTAATTAAAGACTTTGAGCATTTATGAATCAGCTAATTCTTTACAAAGTTTTTATCTTCAAAAACTTCTAGATATTTTAAAAACTTCCGCCTTTTAATTTGTTTATTTTTTATAAAGAGATCTGGTAAATTAAGTGGTAGATTTTCTTGTGTTTTTTATAAAATAATGTATAGTGAGTTTTGTATGTGTTTATTGAGAGATTGTTAGCTCTAAACCATTTATTTACTTTTATCAGCTCAATATTCATATCTCCATAGAGCTGATTCACGGCTGTTTCACTCAATATAAAAACGAGCGTGACGTCATGAGTTTATCAAAAAAAAAAGTATTTCCGCATAAAAAGTATAAAAATTCACAAACTTTAAATTAATAGTAACTTTTTTATATAAATGCTTTCATCTTGCATTTAAAAAAATATAAAAGATCTATCTTTCCTTGTTAAATAAATATTTACATTAATTGGTATAAAAATAAATATTGCCAAAATATTTTTAATAATTTAGAACCACTTTTCTAATTTTCGCATATTTTCCGCAAAACATGAGTTGGGCCAACTAAGATTTCATAACATAGCTCAGTGCTTGATAGTTGAAATTTGGAATGCTTAACCCTAAATGCCCATTCTATCAGATTCCTGCGTCATCCTAGAGATTTTTTTACAAAAAAACTGTTTTTAAAGCATTTATATTTTTTAATTAATCGTTTTTAAATGCAAAACATAAATTTTTTGATGGATGACATAAGTTAATGAAATTTCAACCTTTTATGCAAATGAAAATAAAAAAATTATTTTACTTGCCTTCAGCTATGTTATGAAATATGTTTTCAAAAATGTCATGTTTTACAACTAATCTTGTTAGTTTTAGGCGTACATTTGTGTTGACGTTTTTTTTGCGATGACGTAACCTTTATGCGTTACGTCCCAAACTATTTATTAACGAATATTCTCCAAACAACTGTTTCGGCGAGTCAATTTTTGAAGTATAAAGTAAACAAAGTTACGCGGAATTTTTCTCTTTGGGTTATCAAACTAATATCAGATAAGTTGTTAAATCCACTTTTATCTTGTGCATATATTTGTTAATTAATATTATTTTATTTGTTTTTATTATATTGATTAATAAGTCAATATTATTTTAATAACTATGTATTCAACTGAGAGGGAAATTCTAAAACAACATATTGGATGGAAAAATGGTAGGGAAGATAGGTGTAACTTTCCTTTTGTTAAGCGATTAATTAGGACAGATAAGATCAGTAACAATGTCATTTCTATTTTAATGACAGTCTTTAAAATAAGAAGTGATTTATTTAGTTTTATGAGTTTTCTTTTGCCAATTGATTTTGATATGCCTAGTAATGACGAGTTTGATAAAATGTGCCTAAAGTTAACACGACAAAAAAAGAAATATAAAAAAAATTTTAAAGCTATAAAAAACGAAGAATTTTTTAAAATGCAACTGTCGCAAGCTCCACTCAAAAAAAAAAAATCAGCAGATGCAGATGACTTTTTCACTTTAAATAACAGTCAGGAGCTACTGAATCAAATTGATCAATTAACTTCTGAAAATAAAACAAATATGGAGCAAATAGAAAAATTTAAAATGCAAGTATTTAAGTTGGAAGCTGAAATTACAGATTTAAATTCTAAAAATAGGGCTCTCAACACACATTGTAACTCATTAAGTTCTCAATTAGAGACTATGAGTATTAGGCTAAAACAGGAGGAGCAGTTCCAACTTTAAAAAAAAAAAAAAATTAAAACAGCACAGCGTAAATTCTGCTCGTGCCAAAAATGTAAGATTGCTAAAAAAAATTATTTTTGAAAAAAGAATTGCAAAAATTAGTGATTTAAGCCAGAACAGTTGCCAAATTTGCAAATGTTTTGCTAGTTGCAATAAGGATTTAGTTGTGGTTGATTCTTATTTAGACTACGACAACATTGGTTCCTCTGAATTATTTTGTGGGTTTAAATTAAGTAATCCACAGAATATATCAGTTAAAAAGCCAATAGTTAGTAAAAAATATACTTATATTAAGTTAGGAAATGGTAAACCTTATTCTAAGTTAGGTAGGCATGCTGCAGCTAAACGATCTAAACTTGCTTTTATATTCCTTCGATTATTAGCTTGTTCAGATTTAGAAAGTGATTTGTCTATGTTGTTTTGTGATTCTATGTCTTGTGAAAAGTCAGTATTTTGTTGTGTTGCAAATAAGTTGGGTTTAGTTAAGCAGTTAAGTGTTTCTGATGCTGTAGAGCTACAGAGCCAATTAAGGATGCCCACGGCTGAATTCCGTTGACTAAGACGTATTCTGTGTAATCTTGGTGCAAGGATTCTCCCATCTGAGCCCAAGATGAGACAAGAACAAGAAATGCGGACAATGCATGTCAATAAAGAACATGTCACTGTGAAGTCCATGTTACTTTATCCATCTGCGAATGAAGCACCTTGTTTAGTATCTGTACTGATGGTCAAGAATTTGACAACTTATATTGAAGAGGTTTTTACTAATCTTTATGTACGCGACCACCTTAATTCAGATGTCGGTTTTGGCGAAGAAGTATGGCTCCTTTTTGCTGGTGATAAGGGTGGGAAATATATGAAATTCCATTTTGAAGTTGTCAATTCTAAATCATCAGGGTCTGTATACGATGTTCACTTGTTTTGTATGTATCAGGGTTCAGACTGTCGTGAGAATATAGCCTTAGTTCTCGGGCATTTTGCCAACGACATTAAAAGAATTCAGTCGTCAGATTTTTAGCTAAAAGGCAAAATAGTCAGGTTGTTCTTAGGTGGAGATTTTCATTTTATCGATGATGTTCTGGGACACCAGGGTTCAGCTGCTAGCTTTCCTAGTTCTACAGACCTAGTTAAGTTGAATTCTCTAAGAAACCATGCTTCTATGCCTCACACACCTGCTAATTGTAACATCTTAAGGAGGACAATACAATCTCTGGAAAGTGCTTACAATGAGAACTTGTGTGAAAATAGACAAGGTGGAAACCTAAGAACTTTAGGTAAGTTTCATAATTCAATTATTGCTCCTGTGATTTTCCCCATAACAACTTTAGATAATGTAGTGCCACCTGTTTTGCATATTATGTTAGGAGTTGTGTTAAAACTGTATAAGTTATTGTTGAAGGAGTGTAAGACTTTAGATTGTCAAGCTGTTTTGTCTTTGTCGCATAATGAGAATGTGAGAACGAATGAATTGTGGGCTGCTAAAAGCGTTGAATGTTCTAAAACAGCAGAAGCTTTACGTTTATAAGGAAATCAATTTGTAGACGTTGCAAATCTACAGGCGCGTTGGTTAGTTTTTAATAAAAATATTTCTGAATTATCTCTAAACTCCTCCAATAAAAAAATAACCTTTAAACAGCAAGAAATGTGTGATAGTATTAGGTGTTTAATTACAAAATCCGATTGTAACATTGATTGTGTGCAGTGTGGTACGTGCCAAAAATTGTTTCATCAATTTTGTGAAATTATTGGTGATTCGGAAAAGAGTGTATTGTGTGACATTGAGAAGTATGAGTGTTTAGCATGTCAGGGTGAAGATATAGAATGTCTTGACCTTTATATTTCTGAAAAAATTTCTTTTATACGTGCACAACGCGAAGTTTTAGACACTGAATATATTAAATTGCAGGTGTAGTGTGAAGACCTAGAAAAAATATCCAAAAGTAGCATGGGGACTCATGAGAGGTCTCTTAATAAGGCCCTTGAAGATATGAAGGTTGAGCGACAAGCGTACCACGGTAATGTGTTCGTAGGTAATCATTGCAAAATAGTCTTAAGAAACCACTATAAACTTTGTAGTGTTATTGATGATGAAGCTATTAAAAATAGATTTGTATGTGTGTTTAGTGTTTTTAATAAGTTGCAACCTATTCTATTTAAGCGAAAATTTCTTTCAGATGCCGAAATTACTGAGCTTCATCAATATATAAATTTATTTGCTATCGAATTTCATGATTGCTTTCCAAAAGAAAGTATCACGCGAAAAATGCATGAACTCATTTTTAATGTGCCACTATTTGTAAAATTGCATAAAACTATTGGGTTGCTGAGTGAAGAGGAGGGAGAGTGTTTGCATAATAGCGTAAATAAGGAATTAAGACAGTTGCATTCAGTAAGAAATCAGGAGCAAAAGCTGCATCTTGTTTTAAAACGCTTTGAATTGCACAGCAAAGCTGATAGGAAGCTTCAAGCCTCTAAGGTGAGAAAGTGTGTTGTGTGTTCTGAGCGTGGCGAAAATTCATTTTATAGACAAGGTCTTTGTCTTGTTTGTGGTCATCAAATTTAGTTAAAATATTTAAAAAATTAAAAACAACAACAACAAAAAAAAATTAAAAAGTAAGATAAATTATATGAGATCTTTAATTTGTATATAAGATAATTTTATTTTGTTCTAATATCTGTGTGATGTTAGTTTAAAATATTATTTTTTAATATATTGATTTTATATATTAGGTAGGTGCCCATTCTGTTCCTAGCTTCAGAAGTTATTTATACCTATGCAATACCTTTGCTCAGGTTAAAGAATGGAATAATAGTCTTGCATCAAATGTATGTAAAAATCTAGCTTTTATATATTAACTTGTGATCAGAGCAACTAGTATGTTGGTTGGGTATGATCTGTTATGTTTGTATATTTAATTTAAAAGATGTATTGTTCTTCATTATATGTAACATTTTTTTATAGATATATTACATATCCATTCGATGTTTATCACCAGAAGTTAGTTCTACCTTTGCAGTACCTCTGCTTTACATACCTCCTCGCTGGTTAAAGAATGAAATATAAATCTCATATCAAGTTGGTGTAAAAATTTAGTTCAATAAATTAAGAATTTATAAACGTTCTCAAAATTTTGAGTGGAGCAATTGTTTTTCTGGTTTAGCATGAGTATGAATCTGATATCAATTGTATGTACAAAGATAGTTTACTTCTTAAAGAACCTATTAGTAAACCAACTGATTATAAAACAGTTTTTAATGGGAATAAAAACAAATTTTCAAAAGATTTCAATTAGCTATTTGTATATTCAAACACTTTATTTACTGAGAGAAGAGACTATAGATTCAAGTGCTATAAAATAATTCTACTACCAAAAGCGAGGTTAATTCAAAAACTGAAACTCAAATTTGGTCATGAATTATTTTATTAGACTTGGTGAGTCTTAATTTATTAACAACATAACACCATATTATTAGAACTGTATGCACAGAAAAAAATAAATGCTTTAGCTTTAAATGTTTTGACTAAATATTCCAAAATCGAAATCTGGCTTTTTATTGCAATGCAATGAACTTATTGGCTTAGGATAATAAGTTTCTAAAACAAGAACTTCTAGGTTTAAAAATGTACTCTTTTAACAGCTAATCCCCCTTTTAACTACATTTTTCATAACTTTGCGAAAAGTGCGGTTTGCTTTCAGACCTCATTAAAGTCTGTTTTAGCTATCCTTAAACAATTAAGTAAGGTTTTTTTGTTTTTATAATAGTCAAACAATGGGTATATTTGAGATTAACTATCAGAAATAAATTTTTCTGATTTTTTTTTGATAAAAAGTAACATCAAATTACTTGAATTCAGCCAACGTCATCATTTGTCGCGTTTTTTTTAAACTTAAAGAAATTTTTTTACTAATGCATTAAATGTCATAAGATGAAACATTTTATTGGTGTTATTATTCTTTTTACAAAACAAAATTATCTTGATTATTTTAAAAGTTATTGAAGTTTTAGTAACACCCTTTTAGTCAATATTTTCAAAAAATAACAAGAAGCCGTTAAGCTCGGTTTGAAACAGCCGTGGATTAATTTCATTATTGGACTTAAATAAATTAGTACCAACAGCACACATAATTTAATTTTGTAGATACATAACAAAAGTTGGTCACATAAATTAGTAATAGGAGAGGGCCGAGGATTGAACCATTTCAAATGCTTTTAACAGATCTATAAATATTCCAAGTGTGAACTGATTTTTTTAAACCCGTTGGTTATTTTGTCAACTTAATCAATAATTGCATGCTCTGTTGAAGTAATTTTCTGGAAACATAACTGTTTGGGGTAAAAGAATTTGTTTTTTGCAAAATGGCCATAAATCCTATTTATTTTTTTTGCTAAATGGCCATAAATTCTATTATACATAACGCATTCAAATATTTTTCAGAAAACGGATAACATGGATATATATGGATAACACGGATAGCAGTTCTATAATTTGGATAATAACACAGATAACAACGGATAACACGGATAACAGTTCTATAATTTGAGATATCGAAACTATCGTTGCCTTTACAAATTGGGTAAACTTTAGCTACCTTCAATACATCAGGAAAAATGAATTCATTTATTAAAAGTTTAAGAATTATTTAAAGTCTAAGAAAACAAATGTTTGTTAATGTTTTTGCAAATCGAAAGTTTAATCTTAATTTACCCACCCTAAATTCCAAAATAACGTGCCACAAAATTTTGCCGGCTTTTATTGAAGTTTAGTAAAAATATTCACTTAACTAAGTTACTTTAAAGATATCAATTAAGAAGATATATAACGGAATATGATGTGGTTTTTTTTAAAAATTTTCAGAAAAGAAATGGAAAAACATTTTGAATTAAAAAGTACACGACTATAAGTGTTTTTAGGTGCTATTTTCAACTTTTTATCGCGCTGTACCAACTTTGGAATCAAAAGTTCGCTGCTCAGATTCCCTGAACAAAAAAATTTAAAAACTAACTTTTAATTTTAATAACTGTAAAAGTGCGTGTTTTGAGTTTACAACTTGTATTTTTAAGTGTTAATAACAAGCTAAGATTCTCAAAAATGTAACAAAAAAACATGCACTTTTTGATGTTTTTATTATAAAATATGTAATTGGAAAATAATAAACACCATGTTGTAAACTCAAAGTTTAGTTTTGAGAAAATTCTAGTCATTTGCTAAGTAATTTATTTAATTTTTACTCGCCTTGTTTAAAATAAAATACTTATTTTTTCTTATGGTAATACTAAAACTATTCTATCAAGACTTTTAAAGGGATAGTTTAACTATCCCCATAAAAAATGTTACAGGTTTTTAGACTTGGAATTTTTAATCTTATATACTTCTTTTGTTGTAAGAAATTAAATTAAATATATAGAAAGATTTTGTTCCAGAGAAGTTTCTAATAATAAATATTTTCAGTTTCAGCTTTGAACACTTATTCAAAATTTCAACTTCTTATAGTTTGAACAAAATTATTTAAAAACTAAAAATTTTTGAAATCAATTTTGAGGTATATGTTAAGCAGCAGATCAACAAGCGACTAGTGCCAAGAATGTATTAAGTTTGATAATGAATATTTTTAAATTATTTTAGTTATTTACTTTGAATAATCCATATACAAACTAATCTTTAGGTTATTTATTAAGAAAAGGATCTGCTATAAATTAAACATTCATTCTGACTTCTGTACAAATCATCAGCCACGTCTATTATTTTGGACAACTTTATCTGTTAAATACTTTAAAGAAAATACATTAGAAAAAGTATTAAATACTAGATATTATTGAAAAAAATTATATTGAGAATGGTACTGCTGTTTGTTAAAGGTTTTTTTTTATTTTCACTTTTTTATATCTAAACTGCAACAGTACAAATTAGACAATTAGTTACCGTAAGATTGGTTGGCTTTGGCCCATTTTGTATCTTAATGTCTATTGCATAAAAGCCACGAAAGTTATTTCCTCAAATACTAAGTACTTTTAAAAGCGCATAGAAAAGATAGTTAGAACTATCTGTCTTCCATTTGAAAATTATTTATCTGAAGTATCTTTTGGGTGGTTTAAATGTCTTTTAAATGGGTTCAGCCAAAGTCACCCGACTTTGGCCTAACCCAGTAAAAAGGGACTAAAGGATGCAAAACAACAATAAAAACAATCATATTTAGGCAAAGAAAATAAATTTACAAAAATAAAGATGACAAAAAAAGATTTAGTTACAACGTTCTTGTATACAGTAAATAAAATATTGGTACAAACTAAACAAGTATAGGTACCAAATAAACAAAACAGTTTAGGTATCAAGTTAACGAAAATGACAAAAATGAAGTTTTAAAAAATTTCGTAAAAAAGTTCTAGAACTGAATAAATTCCTCTTTTTGAAATTGTCTTTGATTCCTCAATAAAATCGACTATTTTAGACTGGGGAAAAAAAAGTTGCTCAGGTAGTGACCATTTCCAGTTAAGTCCATTTTTTTTCATAATAGTAATTTCTTATTTTTTCTTAGTTCCAATTTTTCTTAATTCTTTCAACTGCACAATAAAAATTTTTTGAAGGTTTCTTTAAAATTGTTGAGTAGTTATTACATTGAATGGTATAAGTTATTAAATTAATTAGTTATAAAGTTTACTAATTGATTAGCTAAACATAAATAATTCAAAATATATAAACAAACCTGTCGAGGATTTAACTCTCCGTTGCATTTAATAATTGCATTACAATTCTCTACAAGATTTAACAATTTTTTCTTTTAACAGGCATTTTTTGTTTTATCAATATTTTGAAAGTTCTTTTTGCCTAATGCTGAATGATGTAAAGACTCTGTATGATTGTCTACGACTAAACTTACATCCGAAAAAATTAGATTAAAACTCTCAGTAATTCCAGTATTTATACTTGGGCAAGCAAAATCAATGTTGTTGGTCTCAATTGTATTTATAATACTGATAAGTGTATCTACATTATTTGCATTTAACCTATTATTTTCATTTATAACACAAGATGATATATCATTTGAACATAAGCTTTTATCCGGGGAAGCACATACTTTACGTCGCTTTGGGTTTTTAGAACCATCTGAGGGATCATCCAGTGACTTACATAAATGATCTAAAAATGATTGGCTTACTAAATCACTAGTTGAGTCTAAACCTACATTACGACATGGTAGTTGTAAAAGCACTTGACACTTATCTAACTTTCCAGTTTTGAGCAAACCAGCTCTAAGGTTATCATTCCCATGTTCATTTAAGTTGGTAATCAAACGGTCTAAAAGTCTAGAAGATTCATCTTTAGGTAGAGAGGCAACTCTCCTTCCTTTTCTTTTCTCCTTCTATTTACATAATATTTTGCACCAGTTAGTCTTCATAGGTCTAAAATAGACAACATCTTATGGCTGCGTGAGATGTGTAGAAATTGATGGTAATGCCACAAATCCTATATTATTGCTTTGACATGCATCCAGTACTGCAATGCTCAAATGTAAAGATACGTTATCCCCTATAATGACACTTCTTTCTCGATGATGTTATTGCATATGTCTTAAACATGTTTTCTTCTTTTGATGTAAGTATTTGCTGATTACCATACTTTTTAGGATATATCTTTTTTATTTTATATTTTTATGTTGATCTTGGTATATCGTATTTCAAAGCTGCATGTCTTTGAGTAATTAAACCATTCTTTAAATCTTTTAATGCATTGTCTAACTGTTCTAAAGTATAATTAACATATTTTATTCTTCCACGATTTGGCTTGTAATTTTGTGGCATATTTAAACTAAGAACTAAAAATTCACTATACTTTTATTCTGATTTAGTAATATAAACTGTTATTTTCTATTGTATTACTACTACAAAATTTATCATTGCAACATAATAACTACCATAATATCTATAAATGATCACTAAAAAAGGTTTTCTCTAATAAATGGGGTGACTTTAGCCCGGGCCAATGTCACCCATGTAGTGGGCCAAAGGCAACCTTTTTTTTTAACCTCAATTACAAAAAACCAATAAACTGTAAAGCAAAACAAGATTGAATCAAACGCTTATGGTTTAAAATTAATTCAGTGTATATTCCACTAAAATCCTTCTCCAGGTACTGCTATCGATGTACACACTATCGATGTACACACTAGTTTATACAGTTAAACAAATTCGGATTTAAGGTGCTTCTTCTAAAGTGCAAATTACATTAATATCACATTGACTTGAGTCAATCAAACTAAGTTACACTAAATAAATAATAAATTTCCATCAATTTGCCACAAGACATTAACCAGCATACCTTGAGGTATCGATTTTGAACCATTTTTT